AGGACATTATTTATGTATTTTCTCATCTTATTTTAGGATTTTGCCCCTAAATGATAATTTCCCCAAGGTTGATTTTGGTTGTGAACAAGTACCCTATTTGGGTTAATTTAGTCATAAAATGTGCTTGTTATACTAAATGTAATTCTTTTCCAAAATATTTAACGATTTTCTCATCTTTTTTTAGGATTTTGGCCCAAAATGACCATTTCCCCAAGGTTGATTTTGGTTGGGTTTTCCATGGTGAACAAGTACCCTATTTGGGTTCATTTAGTCATAAAATGTGCTTGTTATACTAAATGTAATTCTTTTCCAAAATATTTAACGATTTTCTCATCTTTTTTAGGATTTTGGCCCAAAATGACCATTTCCCCAAGGTTGATTTTGGTTGGGTTTTCCATGGTGAACAAGTACCCTATTTGGGTTCATTTAGTCATAAAATGTGCTTGTTATACTCAATGTTATTCTTTTCCAAAATATTTAACGATTTTCTCATCTTTTTTTAGGATTTTGGCCCAAAATGACCATTTCCCCAAGGTTGATTTTGGTTGGGTTTTCCATGGTGAACAAGTACCCTATTTGGGTTCATTTAGTCATAAAATGTGCTTGTTATACTAAATGTAATTCTTTTCCAAAATATTTAACGATTTTCTCATCTTTTTTTAGGATTTTGGCCCAAAATGACCATTTCCCCAAGGTTGATTTTGGTTGGGTTTTCCATGGTGAACAAGTACCCTATTTGGGTTCATTTAGTCATAAAATGTGCTTGTTATACTCAATGTAATTCTTTTCCAAAATATTTAACGATTTTCTCATCTTTTTTTAGGATTTTGGCCCAAAATGACCATTTCCCCAAGGTTGATTTTGGTTGGGTTTTCCATGGTGAACAAGTACCCTATTTGGGTTCATTTAGTCATAAAATTTTGCTTGTTATACTAAATGTCCGGGTTTCATACAATTTCTACTGGACTAATGAGGCAAAATATGTGAATCATGTGGTATCAGAAACCAACGTATGTAGACGCACAAACCAACATGAAAGGGTACAGAATGTTGAAACAGAACAAGACAATACAAATGAAAATGATTTCATGAATGACTCAGATGAAAATTACTACTTGTATCCAACATTTCATGAATGGCATGATGAAGAGAGAGATTTTATGAGTGCTTCATGAAACCGTGAACACAGCAAGATACCTCAGAGAAGAATGCCTATCAGAAGCATATACATTTCCGGAAAAGAATTTCCAGTCATCGTTGATTCAGGTGCATCAGTAGACGTTATGCATCAACAAACCTGGGATACACTGAAGAGGGAAAAACCTGTGTTAAGCACACTCAGAGACTCTCAACGCAAATTATTCCCATATGGATCTGATCAACCCTTACCAATCATAGGTCTTGTGACTTTAACAGTTTCTCACGATCAACTTATTCGTGGAAGATCAGGAAATTTACTTAGTTGCAGATCAGCAGAGGATCTTCAAATTCTGAAGATTGCAAGAAATATTAACACGAGAGATATTACGGATGAATTTCCAGAACTGTTCACAGGCGGCATAGGTAAATAAAAGACAGAAAAGTGAAACTTCATGTAGATGAGAATATTCAGCCTACCCAACAACTACATCGACGAATTCCATTTCATGTGAGAAAAGATCTAGAAAATGAACTCGTTGAGTGAAATCGTTGTAGTTCCAAAGAAATCATCAGGCGTCAGAATTTGTGTTGACAAGAGAGAAACAAACCAAGCCATTCGACGAGAAAACCATATAATGCCAACTACTGAAGACCTCATATCAGACTTGATCGGTTCAACTGTCCACAGCAAACTCGACCTGACAGCCGGTTATCACCAATTTGAACTACACCCTGACAGCAGATACCTGACCACATTTAGTACACATATTGGATTGATTCGGAATACACACAGCTTCAGAATGTTTCCGGAATGTGATTGCCGAGATCATACAGGACGTTCCTGGCTGCCCGAACATATCGGATGACGTTCTCGTGTATGGAAAGAATCAAGCTGAACACGACCAGCGACTGGAGCAATTACTGAACGTACTCCGAGACAACGGCGTAACAACTCTAAACAAGGCCAAATGTGAATTCTCAAAATCTGAAGTTAAGTTCTATTGACATGTATTCGGAAAGAATGGAATTTCTCCTGATCCAGAGAAAATCAAGACTATTATCAACACACCAGCTCCTGAATCTGCAAGCGAAGTCAAATCATTTCTAGGCATGGTGCAGTACGTTGCACGTTACATTCCAGACTACGCAACTATCACAGAACCTCTGAGACGACTCACAAGAAATGAAACTCCATGGCAATGGGGTAAGTCAGAAGATAAGTCCTTCAAACAACTGAAGTCTGTTTTCAGTTGCGCACAAGTCATGGAATATTTTAATCCCAAAAAGAAAAGTCCAGTCGGATTGGCGCAATAGTCACTCAAGAGGGGAAAATTCTCAGCTACGCCAGCCGTGCATTTTTTGATCCAGAGATCAGATACTCACAAACAAAAAGAGAAATGTTAGCTGTTGTATGGGCTGCAGAACACTTTCATGTGTACACGTTCGGAGAAAGATCATCACCGATCACAAGCCACTCCTGGGTACATTCAAAAGTAGAAAACCTGCTTCTGCAAGAATGAAACGTTGGAGAATTCGCTTAACTCCCTACAAGTATGAACTCACTTATCAACCAGGAAAAGATGAAAACAACCTAGCAGATTACATTAGTCGTCATCCTGTAACTGAAGAGAAAGTATACAGCATAGGAGAAGAATACATTAACTATGTGTGTATGAACGCAGTTACAAAATCACTTACCTTCAGAGAAATCCAAGAGGAGACAAAACAAGACGTACTGTTGTTGATAATTCAGGACACTATTTACATGGTAAAATCACTTATTTTATGTTTTGTCTAAAGAGTGTTAAATTATGACATAGAATCCGAGACCTTTTATACAATTAATGGAAATTAGTTGAGATATATACTAATCAGCATACCAATGTCGTCTTTTGCCGACGTCGCAAAATGTATACTCATGCCAATAATGGTTGTCACCCCCCTCCCCACCCCAACCCCCACACACCTCACAACCCCACCCCACAAACGTACAATCTGTCATATCATCCAATGAATATGGAAGATGGAGTAATCCAGGCCTCAACATTAACTTCAAGCTGAGAGAAGAGTTAGCTGTATACAACGGTGTCGTACTTCGTGATCATCGCATTGTTGTTCCAGAATGACACCGACGTAGAGCTGTCGAACTTGCACACATTGGACATCAAGGCATGGTGAAAACCAAGAGACTGATTAGAGAAAAAGTTTGGTTTCCCGGCATTGACGACATGGTCGAAAAGATTGTAAAATGATGCATCCCATGCCAAGCTGTCAGTGACTCGCCGAGACGCCGAGAACCTTTGAAGATGACAAATTTACCCTCAGCACCATGGAAGAATGTATCAGTTGACTTAACAGGTCTGTTCCGATCAGGTGATTACATGTTTGTTGTCATGGACGTCCATTGGCGGATCCAGAAGAGGGGTTCAGGGGATCTCACACACACACACACACACACACACACACACACACACACACACACACACACACACACACACACACACACACACACACACACACACACACACACACACACACACACACACACTCCCATTCAAAAGTCCAGGGTCCGCTCATGACGTCAATACAAGATACCCTGAAGTAAACATCAACAGATCAACATCAGCCAGAGCAGTCATCCCTAAACGTGATGCTTAAATTGCTCGTCAAGGTATTCCTAAAGTAGTGAAGTCAGACATCAGATCACCTTTCAACAGTAAGGACTTTGCAGATTTCGCAGCATACGTAGGTTTATATCATCGCAGAGTCACACCCCTGTGGCCAGAAGCAAATGGAGAAGTGGAGAGGTTCATGAAAAGTTTGAAGAAATGCTTTCAAACAACCACAGCTGAAAGCCGAAATTGGAAACAAGAACTATGGAAATTCCTTAGACACTATAGATGTACTCCACATTCGACGACAAATATAAGTCCGTTTGAATCACTTACAGGCAGGAAGATGACGCTACAACTACCCGAAGTTCAAACACATATTCCTTCCAACCAGAAGATCAATGACCACATCAGAGATAAGGATGAAGAAAAGAAGTCGAAGATGAAAGAATATGCTGACAACAGAAGAAACACAAAACCGTCAACTCTAGGAGAAGATGACACTGTACTAGTACGACAACCTCGACAAACTAAGCTAACTTCAAAGTATGATCCCCAGCCGTATACCATTACTGAGAGAAAGGGCAGCGTGATAACAGGGCAGCAAGGTAATCGTAACATCACCAGAAATTCACCTCACTTCAAGCCGATTCCAGTCAACGCAAATCATCAAATCAACAAAGAAGATGACGACGATACACACATCGACATCGGTATCCAGCCCGCAAATAAAATGAATGCTGATGAAGAGACAATTCCACGTTTCAAAGTCATGTTTGAGAGATCGACCAGAGAGAGAAAGTTCCCTGTGCGGTTTAAAGACTTTGAACTGAAATAATGAAACTTTTCTTGCTGATCACGTAGTTACTCAAACATGAACTGTTTAATGTGTGAAATATGGACCATTAATGTGCTGTTGATCAATTAAAGACTGTTAAAGTGTTTCGGATCAACGTTTTCAAATATGGACTTTTATGTGTTTCCAGTTCCAGTTTTAAAGTTATATGACCTTTTAAAGTTTAACAGTTAATTTCATATAATCCACTTAACATAAATTGTATGCATTTTGGCAATACTCTACATACCGTACATTTTCTCTTTATTGATTCCTAATCAGTATACACTCGACTGATGTACATTCCAAAATTATATGAAGTATTTATTTAAAGGTAAGGAGGGTTGTCATTTCAGGTTCCAGCTGGTGAAAGGGTTTGTTCGCAGTACAGCAGGGGTCCACATGATACTTACCGCCAGGCATGCGGTAGTCTCCACCGACGACGTGCCAGTCTCCAGGTTTGATGTGGGGTGTGTAGCCCACCTGCACGTACTGGGAGTTTCCTACACCGACAACAGAGATTCGTTTGACCGTATTACCAAAGTTGGCATACTGGTACCAACGAAACAGGAACAAGTGTCGCTATATTGTAGGACACAAAAGTGATTGTATGTTACAGAAAACTTTCACTTTTTATTCTATCGAACAGGTGCCTGATGTGTCAGCTATTTGTATCTATAAATACTATGGGTACTGAAAAATATGAATAATGGTTGGCTTATGCTGTGAATCTGAGTATGTGTCCTCAAGTGTGTCAGTGACATTTCAACATTTTTAATTCCAAGTATAGATGCTAATTTTCTTAAACGTAAAATGAAAAACGTGCTATTTTCATGGTATGTCTTCATGGATTTCTTGTACTTACCCCCGTTATCTTTGATTTCAAGCATCACGTCCATGGTGTGGTACATCTTGCCCTGAGCCAAATTCAGGATTTTCACATAGGCCCGAAACAGGTACAGGTGTCCTCCTTGGGCAGGGAAAGTCTGTGTGATACCGGCCCAGTCATGCTTTCTGAAAGGCAGTTGACCTAAGATTGTATTCTGCCTGCTACGCTTTCTGTAATTGAGTTTATCTCAGTGTATCTCATAACACGTTGTCTACAAGGCAGTGTGACTTAGGATGCATCCTCACATGTTTAATGTCTCAATGTTCAGCACAACACCTGTGTTTACAGTCTGTTCATAGTGGACGTTTCACTTGAACATTATAAATCACAGCCTGTTGCAGGCAGTTGTTCTTAACGTAGGTAGCATGGGGTTTCCTCCGGTACCATACGCCAGTAAAAGCATTAACATCTCATCTGTCAGAAAGCAATCTTAACGTGGGTGTAAACTGGAATAAACGTGTACTATGTCCATGTGTACCTGTTTGTGACCTTGACGCTGTGTGACCCTGAGTGCCTGTCGGTGCTGGCGGAAGCCGCACAGTTGTTGCACGACCATCCTGCGGAGGCAGAGTACGTTGTGCTGTCGAAGTCGGCGTTCTTCAGTTGTTCACCCAGCACTAAGGCCGGGAGAAGTGTTAACACAAGCAACATAGCGTGCTACGACCTGTGCTATGTGACTCTGGCTTGGCCGTTGTTATATATAGAGAGGGCATACGTTCTTCACCGTGGTCAGATAAGAAAGTGATAAGACAATTTCATAACTGTCTCGTTAGTGTTATGACACATATTGTGTACAGTGGTCGCATCCAGCTGGTTACAGTACAGAAAATACGCTTAGTGGACATTCAACCAGAATGTCAGACAGAAAACTTTCTTCATTTTATTAAATTTGGTATTTTGTTACACTCATCCAGCAGCTCTGAAAACTTCAAAATTCAAAACATCAAACTACATGTATGTCTAAAAACGTACAGTGGACGTTGAAAGAAAGTTACATTCTTGACACCCTTAGTCTGGACTCAGCCGCTCGTAAACGGATTTATTTCATTGGGAGAACAGAAAAACTTAGTCTGTTTGGTACAGCATACACACCTTGAAGGCCAGTATCATTATAACAGATCCACAATGGCAGCTTACACATTAAGTAATTTTGTCATTTTTACCAGTGATAAAAAATATCTAGAAAAATATAAGCCGCCAGCCATCATCCAATTTCAGCAATTACATTGTTCACTGACAGAAAAACGAAGCCCCAGAAACACTTGTGAGATACAATATAGCCATAAAAGCAAATAAATATATCGAGATTGAACAAAAACATTAATTTGTTTAGGGAGAAGCATTTAATCAACCATGTAGGAGTGAAACTGGCTCCATACATAACAACACCCAACAACGGCTGGAGTAAGTATTGCGTGACAGATTGAATAGTGGTAACTGTTGTTCACTGCCACTGATAACCTCATGACAAGCCTAAGTCTAAATATAGCCACGACCACTGCAGCTGTGTGAAGTCACAACCATATTTAACTGACTACCGGAAGGTGCAATGCCCTGACCAAAGAATAACATGAAACAACAAACATTTTAACTGTTTAAACAAATAATGTTTACGAAGACATTGCAACACACCTGGCGTTATCCGTTAGGTATAATATCAGATTTTAGCACATTTCTATACACCGGAAGTTACATATGATGTCATGGTATCCCAAAACACCTTTTGTAACCCATAAGGTGGATACATGATGTCAAGACATTTACACACACCTGGAGTAACCCAGAAGGTATGATATCAAATGTCAAGACATTTACACACATGTGGTGTAACCCGTTAGGTATAAGATCTGATGTCAAGACATTTTTCCACATCAGGATTTACCAATATGTCCATTACCTGATGTCAATGCATTTACATACACCTGGCATAGCCCCTAAGATATAATATCTTATGTCAAAATATTTCCACCCACTGGGCAGGTGCTATTCATTCACAAAGAATGATGCAATTCCTTTATAAAATAAGTTAAGGTTCCTTCATGAAGTGTCTCCTAAAGCCCAACCCCTCGTCCTCGTCGCGGGAGATGGAAACAGGTAAAGCTGGCCAACGGGGCTCTGGTGAAGCAATATGGGCTAATCCCATGTATTGCGGATCAAAGCGGATTACAGAAACACAGACAGTAAACCAAGTACTACCAGGAACTCGATGTCAAGGAACCAATACAACTGTGTATATGACGTTGTATGGTCAGCCAGACAGCTGAAACTCCTTTCAACTCGAGAACCAACCAGAGTGGGCACATGGAATGTCCGCACGATGCATGAAGAAGTGAGGTGTGCTAAGATTGCCAAAGAAATGCGCAACTACAAGTTAGAGATACTTGGACTCAGTGAGACCAAATGGAACCAAGCAGGATAAGCACGTCTTACCACAGGACAGACGCTAGTGTACTCAGGCCACACTGATAACAACGCCCATCACAGCAGATGAGTGGCCATCATGATCACAGCCAAGGCAACCAGAGCTCTAGTAGGTTGGGAACCAGTAAGCGAGAGACTGATAACAGCAAAGGTCAGGACAACACACAAGAGAATATTCCTCACAGTCATTGCCTGCTATTCGCCAACAAACGATGCAGAAGAAGAGATGAAGGAAGAATTCTATGAAAGGTTGCAAGCCATACTCAAGAAAAGAATAGAAAGGGAGATGGTCCTTCTGTTTGGAGACCTCAAAGCCAAAGAAGGAAGAGATAACATTGTTAATTCATCTCCATGATAACCAACACTGTATTCATTCACATACGCTCTTTATCTGTCATGTCACCTTGTATACATGCTCACTCGCTTATACCCGGGAATTACCCATAAGCCCCATAGCTACGCTGTAACATGCGCTGAGCAGAGTTCATAGCAGACGACATCAACATTCATTATAATGTCCTTTTTGTGTGTGTTGTGAAAATATTAAAACTATCACAAATTGAATTTACGTTTAAAACTTGAAGCTCTTTTTTTGATTTTTAAAATGAGTTAAAAGTCAATCCCACAGTGAACATATACATCAGAGTTGAAGCACACCAGTTTGTAGCACATTCAAGAGTTGGAGACCAGACGCTCCTCTCTTCGTCATTCTGTTAGCTAACTGTTCATGTCCAGGAACCCACTTCACAACGCTGACTTCTCTGGTCTGAAGAGACTGTTGAACAGCAGCTATATCCAGCCTCAGACGCCTGTCATCGACAAGCTTAGTGGAGTGGATGGCCTCCACTACACTCTTGTTATCTACATATGCACACACAGGTATCACATCACTAATGCCAGACACCTCTTCCAGCATTTTTCGCATATACACTGCTTCCTCTAAACCCTCCTGAAGACTGAGAGTTTCAGCTGCAATCGTGGATCTCACTACTCTCTTGATCTTCCCAGCGTGGCAAGCTAAGGGACAACAGCAATTGTTTTCACCAAGAAGAAACACAATGTAGGCACCTACACTACCTACTCCATCACACACATTAGCATGTGCCGCATCAGTGAACACAACTATCTTCCAGCTGGAAGCATTGCCGATATTCCGGAACACAAGCTTTGCTTCATTTTCTTTCAGCTTTCTGATCACCTTTATTGTTCTCAACAAGCCTTCTACTGTACCCTTCTTGAACTTGGTGCTGAGATCAATCATTTCAAAAGCAATGTCAGGACGACCTCCTTGCACAACCCAGTTGATTCTGCCAACCATCTGTCTCAATACCGTATGTTCTTTCACAGTTAGATTTTCAGCTTTTTGTGATTTTCTTTGAGGTGACACATTGTCGAACTCTAAATCTTGCACATATTCATTCTGATCTAGCACAATAGCACCAGGATTCTGTGTGATCTGAAAACCAACATATTTGAATTGTCCACTCTCCCTCTTCCCAGCTTTGAAATACTGAACTAACTGTGCTATGATGTTGTCAAAATGAGGTTGTCAAAATGAGGTTGTCCACAGTGTAAGAAATCGTCAACATGACAAGCAATCATTCCTATGAGACATCCACCATATTTCATGTAAAACAATGCTGGGTCATACACTGACTGAATACATCCCAGCTGCAGTAGGCGATCTCTCACACTCTGGTAAAACTGTCTTGCAGCATCATTCAGTCCATACAGACAGTGCTTTAGCTTCCACAGTTTGTCGTCAGCTACACTAGCGTCCTTTGGGGGGGGATAATATACACATCTCTGTCTAAAGCTTTTCCTTGAAGAAATGCAGACTTAATGTCTGTGGTCTTGATGTCCCAGTTTTGCCATACTGCAAGAGTTAAAAACATTCGTAATGCACTCTTACTGACAGTTGGCGAGTCTCTATCAAAGACACCATCTTCCTCAAATCCCCTAGCCACTAGCCTTGCTTTAACTTTATCACCCTTCTGACATATTACCCATCGAGTTGAAATACAAGGCTGTCCACAATTTTGAACTTCTTCATATGTATCAAACTCTCGTAAACGTCCAAGCTCTTCACATTTCGCCTTCACACAATCAACATCATCATGTCTTGATCTTGGAATAGTCACCACGTTAACATCATGGACTATCACTTTCATCCAGTCATGCACTTTGTCAAGGTTCACACTCGTCACAGTTTCTCCATCATCTGCACATATGTTGAACACATTCTTATTTCGCCCAGACAATTTGCCTCCTCTACTCACAACTGTAGCAGCCACCCAATCTTCTTCTGATGTGTCTTTGAACTGTATCTTGTCATCCTTCTTCAAACTGATTTTACTTCCCCTGGCTTCATCCATGTTTGTTGTTTCATCCGTCATGTTATCCGCTGCCTGTACCTTAGTCTCATCATTTTGAGAGTTTTCATTCGACATGTGTCCTGCAATCATTTCTGAAAGCCGCATGTCAAGTCTGTCCACTTCAAATCCATGACCTCTTACACTGTTGCGCTGCAGCTGGTTCTCTCTCTCTTCAGTGTTCCCATCACACTTAAATTCCAGTCCTGATTTTATCAGTCTATTTGGTGACACTCTAACAAACACCCCGCCGTGTCGAACAAACACAACTTTTCCATCTTGGAACACAACCTTGCCTGGACCTAACCACTTTTCACTGCCATCACGTTTGTAATACACCAAATCACCATGATGGTATATTTCCTCCGAGGCTCTAATTTTGCAACGCAGAGCTCTTCGGATCCTTTCATTTGCTTCTGAGGCGATAAATGCTTTCCTCGCTGCATGCAAAGCGTTCAGATGTTCAGCAAATGACTCACTTCTTGTCACACCGTCAAGTGCTCGGACCGTTTCACTCATGATGTTTGGCAAGTTTGGATTCTTCCCAAACACTAACTGGTAGCTACTGAAACCTTGCCACATTTGCAAAGCATTGCGAGACATATTCGCCCAACACAGGAGTATATCAAGAGGTGTTTCTGGGCACTGTTCCTCCATTCTAGCAAGCATTATATCAGTCACTGAGTGGATTCTCTCACATAGTCCGTTCTGAAATGGGCTTTCCGCAGCAGTTGTGTGAACTCGGATGTTCAGTATACTAGCCACCTCTCTTATTTCCTCGGCATTGAACTCCCCTCCATTGTCTGTCAGGATACTCTTCATCACTCCGAATCCAGCTCCTACCCAGTGCGTCATAATCTTGTCAATCACTTCACTTGGTGTTTTCCGAGTAATGAAGGCAGACACAGTTAATCTAGACCACATGTCCACTAAATGCAAAATCCATCCATTTCTCCACTTCTTTAAGTCCATAGCGAACTGTCTCGTTGAATTGCGATGCCATTGGTAGTACAACAGCAGGTCTGGCTGGTGTTCTTTTGTAAATCTTACATAACTGACACCGCTCATAAATTGCATGGACAGTGTCCCGGAACTCTTCTCTCCAGACCCCAGCATCCTTAAGAAGGGCCACAAGCTTTCTCTCTGGAGGATGAGCAAACTGTCTGTGTAACTTCAAAAGAGTCTTGTACCGTTCGTCTTTGTCGAGTTTGTGAAGCAGCACAGCATGAACTTCTTCAATTGGTATTTGCTCATTCTTGTCAATTGGAATGCAGTAGTGACCCGATGATGTATAGTTCAGATTCACGTTCTGTCCAAGAATTTCTGCTGTATCATTCCCAAGATCCAACTTGATTCGTGCCTCCTTCATAGCATGTATTGATAGTAGTAATGGTATATCAGAATCCACAACATCTGTTCTAATACTGATGGCTTTTCCAGCCATCACAGCAGGTATTTCATAATATCCCAGTGACTTCAGCATCTCACCACCTCCAAACTTGTACACTTTTACACCATCGCAAACTGTCACTTTTTCTTTGTCAACTTGATCCAGTGACTCTATGTATCCATTAAGCCATGTTCTGCCACACACTGTACTCGAACATGCACTGTCCAAAACTGCACATGATCTAGCATCATTGCCTAACTGAGCCAAACCTTCCTTGATACTTCCAGTGAACAGCACCACTTGTTTTTCTGTCTGTACTGGTTCACCTTCGGTATAGTTGACTCTTGATGACATGTTTTCATAGCTGTGAGGACAATGTGCAATTAGATGTCGGAATAAACCACATGCAAGACAAGTTAAAGTTCTACCATTTGCACCATTGGGTTCATAGCTCCATCTGACTGTCCACGACCTCTCCAAGTACTTCCTCTTCCTCTGCCATTACCAAATCCTCTTGGTCTGAAATATCTGCCACGAGATCTGCCAGACTGACTAAAATATGTTTCTTCTTCTTGAGCCACGAAGGCTGGTTCCACCTTAATAGTCGCAAATGCTGCTGAGCTTGAACCACCACCTGCCTGCTGACCGAGAAATTTCTTCAGTGAAACCTTAGCTTGATCATATAAATCTTCCTTTTTAGTATAGTCCATGCCTGTCATAACCAACATTTTCTCTTCTTTGTTTATCTTTGCACGTTTGAGTAACTTGAAAGCAAGAATCTCTTGTGGAAGACTCATTCCCTTTCTCAAAATCCTCAAATTTATCCAAACTATCTGCCAGGTCATCTTTCCCCAAATTTTTATCCAAAAACGTTAACAAGGTATCGAAACCATCTTCTTTCTTCAAATCAGCAAGATTGATGTTATCAAACACTTTCTCACGTATACCAATCTCGTTTTCAGGCAAAGACAGAGCTAAGACGATACCTTGTTTCTCTTTCTTTAAGTCAGTAACTTCCCGCCATGCCAGCAGTTCCTGCCTGTAACGCTCGTAACTCTTAGTAAGGTTGAAATCCGGAGGGTTGATTCTCACAGCCATGGTACGAAATGTTCCACTTCTGTACACTGAATATACTTTGTCCCGCTACCGAGTCCAGTTTTCGATCATGTAAACAATGGAATGATGGCGTTAATTGTTCAGATTGATAATTGTCGCTTTCACTGAAGATGTCACTATGCAACTGAATATCCATTCATCACATTATTTACTGGCAGAATACAACCGAACGCACATTTCACTTGTCCAACTTGTCCATACTTGGTCAAGGTTCAATCAGTAACTTCAAACTTCATACGGTGTAACTCACAGGATATACAGTCAATACGCTTGCCACAAAGATTAGAATATGCAAACCACGCTCTGCTACCACTGTTAATTCATCTCCATGATAACCAACACTGTATTCATTCACATACGCTCTTTATCTGTCATGTCACCTTGTATACATGCTCACTCGCTTATATCCGGGAATTACCCATAAGCCCCATAGCTAGGCTGTAACATGCGCCGAGCAGAGTTCATAGCAGACGACATCAACAAACATCGGGTACACAGCCATCGTGGGAAAGCGTGGAACCGAAATAATGAACGAAAATGGACAACATCTAGCAAACTTTTGCGCGGACCAGAATCTCGTAAGTGGAGGAACCTTCTTCCCACACAAGGAGATACACAAGACGACATGGGTATCATCAAACCAGGCTGTCCAAAACCAGATCCACCACACCTGCAGCTATATATATTCCAGCTATATGGCGGCAGTCTGTAAATAATCGAGTGAGTCTGGACCAGACAATCCAGTGATCAACAGCATGAGCATCAATCTGCGCAATTGGGAACCGATGCCATGTGTCAACCAAGTCAGCGGGCCTGACCACCCAATCCCGTTAGTTTCCTCTTACGACAAGCATGGGTTACTGAAGGCCAATATTCTAACCCGGCACTTCACGGGTAGGACTGAACAAGAGGACTCGGTATAAGGCATCTAGGGCAATGTGATAAGGGCCTATGTACCATCTCTTGAAAAATGTATTGGCAGAGAAATGAAAAAGAACAAACCAGGATAACATTGGCAACACTCGATAAAATGAGAGAAAGGCAATCAGGGAAAGACTTCAAGGTGCCCGCACAAGATCAGAGACTGTCAGATCCCAACAAGAGTACAAGGACAAGCACAAACAGGTCAGGCAAATGGTGAGAAAAGACAAAACAAGGTACTTGGATGATCTAGCAACAGATGCAGGAACTGCTGCTGAAGAACGCAACATGAAGGAACTGTACAAGATCACACAGTCGCTTGCAGGCAAGAGAGCTACGCATGAGAAACCAGTGAAGGGCAAGAACGGAAACGTACTAGGATCAGCAGAAGAACAGAAAAGCAGGTGGAAAGAGCGTTTTGAATATCTGCTTAACAGGCCTACACCAGACATTACTGCAGATATACCACCAGCAGAAAAAGACCGTCTAAAGAGGAGATACGGAGAGCTATCAAGTCCCTTAAGAACGGGAAATCAGGAGGCCCAGATTCCATACCAGCGGAAGCAATGAAATCAGCCCTGGAAACATCAGTAACCATGCTCAAGCCCTTGTTTCTAAAAATATGTCAAGAACAGTCTATTCCTCAAGAGTGGAAGGAAGGGTTCATTGTCAAGCTGCCAAAGAATGGAGACTTGAGCCAATGCAAGAACTACAGAGGTATCATGCTGCTTTCAACACAAGGGAAAGTCTTCAACAGAATGAAGACATCGGTTGATAAACTGCTCATGGGCCAGCTAGCAGGTTTCAGAAAAGACAGGTCTTGCCCGGATCACATAGCCACACTCCGGTTAACAATAGAGCAATCCTTGGAATGGAAGACGCCCTTGTATGTCAAGACATCGGTTGATAAACTGCTCATTGACCAGCAAGCATGTTTCAGAAAAGACAGGTCTTGCCCGGATCACATAGCCACACTCCGAATAACAATAGAGCAATCCTTGGAATGGAAGACGCCCTTGTATGTCAACTTCATTAACTTTGAAAAAGCCTTGTGTGGACAGAACATCATTGTGGAAGATTATGAAGCACTATGGAATCCCAGACAAGTACATCTCCATTATACGATCTACATACGAGTGAAGGACATGCAGAGTATTGCACTCAGGAGATGTAACAGAGACGTTCCCAGTTCACACAGGTGTCTGATAAGGCTGCATACTTGCACCATTCCTCTTCTTGGTGGCAATTGACTGGGTGACAAAGGGAACAACACGAGGGAGAAGACATGACATCCAATGGACAATCTACGAGCAACTGGACGATCTTGATTTTGCCAATGACCTGGCACTTCTGTTCCATAGACTCTAGCATTGGAAACAACAGCTGCCTAGATAGGTCTCAAAGTTAATCGAAAAGTACGCTGTGATTCCTTCATCAAGTAATGTTTGATTCCTTCATAAAGTAATGTTTGATTCCTTCATAATGTACGTGGTGATTCCTTCAAAAAGTACGTGGTGATTCCTTCAAAAAGTGAGTGAGTGAGTATAGTTTTACGCCGCACTCAGCAATATTCCAGCTATATGGCGGCAGTCTGTAAATATTCGAGTCTGGACCAGACAATCCAGTCATCAACAGCATGAGCATCGATCTGCGCAATTGGGAACCGATGACATGCGTCAACCAAGTCAGCGAGCCTGACCACCCGATCCCGTTAGTCGCCTCTTACGACTAGCGTGAGTTTAATGAAGGCACATTGTAACCCGGACCTTCACGGGTTCACTTCAAAAAGTACGTTGGGATGGTTTCATCCCTAAAGGATCTTTTTAATGTACGTCCTCGTTTAATTGTTGAGTTTTTAAAAGAAATTGAATTAATTGATAATGTTTTAAATGTATTGTAATTAGTCAGTGATTTTAACTTGGTGGTATGCATAAATAACTATGATAGACAGTGGCTGTAACATCAAAGGGGGCTGAAGTAGTGTAACATAATTGTCCCCCTGAGAGGGTAGGTAAGTCCCTTTTCATTCAAGGTATTTTGTCTTTCTCTAAATTTCAATAGTAGTATGGCTATTTTGCTAAACAATCGCCAACAGCTGAAGGAATGATGTAAATCCAGCTAGTGTGCATTCAGGTAACAAAAGTAATGTAAGTCCCCTTGGTCCCCAGTATGGTGTTCTACCTTCAGTTGTTGGTGGTCCATTGTACTGTTCTCTATAATATTATCGCTTTATGATTTCATGCTAGTTTTACCTTGTCTGCAATACTCTAGTATTTTTACTGTTCATCGTCAACAGGTTATTAATTTTTAAATTTATTGATGTTTACTGTGATAATTGCTTGTTCTCGTCACGACATGACTGAAGTATTGCCGATGTGACGATACATATTAACTCACTCACTCACACATTCATAAAGTACGTTGTGATTCCGTTATAAATTACGTTGTGATTCATTTAAAAAGAACGTTGCGATTCCTTCATAAAGTACGTTGTCATTCCTTTAAAAATACGCTGTGATTCACGAACATAGGACAGAGGGGGAGGGGTGGCATTACACATTGACTGTTCAGTATGTTGCCCAACACAAATGTGGTGTGTGTGTGGTGAATACACGTTACATGTAGTTAATGGGAAGCATAGAACATATGTCTTAAATTAATAGGATTAAATATACTATGTCCTTTTGCTGTTAATCCAGAGACTGTCGCAATATTTATTCAGGTCCATGTGCACATGCAGACTATCTTCAAACTAAACCACGTAGAATAATCTTGTTGTTCACAGGCAAGGCCTTTATCAAAACAAACAGCCTGATTTCCGATCGATGAGATTGAGTAGATTGATAGATATGTATATATTTCTTAGATGATGTTAGTCACCTAATGATCATATTGATTAAACACAAAGCAACACATTCATCAAATCACGTTTTATTCACGTCAAACCTATCCAACTAGTATGTTGTTCACCTGCGGGTTGCTACCTGGAACAGAAAGGATGTCGAGTCATGTGCTGAATCTTCTCCACAAATATTACCATCGTTTCATCACATTACACTGTTTGGTATCCTATGTCCCTCACCTGATCCCGACAGACTGATGGTCAGATCAACGCCGTTGTCACCCAGAGTAAACTGTTCAGTTTTGATGATGTTTCCGTTGTGTTTGACCTGCACTGTGTAACCGCCCTTGAATCCTCTCACTCGGAGGTTCTGACCCTCCCTGACCGGATGTGACTCGTTGGTCCTCCACTCCCCCTTGATCAGCTGTTTCACCCTCCGTCCTGCAGCGTTCGGCTTAACAGAAAAGTGATCACTAAAGTGGTAACCTAAAGGCTCCAACAGCTAGATGAATATAACAATGTAAAAACTGTGGAGCCATAATCGTTAATGATAGGAATAGCAATTTCAATGTTACAAAAGCAATTATATACACCAGCAAGATGAAGAAGCATTGTCTACAATGTGTAAATATCTCCATGTTTTAAATAACCGAACTGTCACAGTAGGGATGTTTTAGTGTAGAATAGGGGGTTAAGATTCAGTTTTCATTTATATTACCGTCACATTTTGTCCATTAGCCAGAGCAGCGTTAGGTCGCCAATGTCTGCCATCCCAGTATCCCCAGAACATGACCCCTTCTACAGAAGGATGACTGAAGTACAGTCGCAGCAGTGACTCATACTTGTCAGCCTTTGTGTTCTCGTTCCAATCATCAATGTCCAGCTCTGTTATCCACATCTTCAAGCCTACACGGGCAACCTCGTCCAGCCGATGCTTGCAAAACACATTGACAAATATATACTAAGGGAAACAAACAAGGGAACACCACTTCATGGCAGTGTTCCTTTATTTATACTCAGATTCCTCTAACAGCGCTATTCAAAGCTGGTGATGAAAACTGGAAAATATTAGAGGAACGCTTGAATTTTCCTGTGTATCTTTATTTGTTTGATTCTGTATACTAACAATTGACGCATACGATACATATTCATGAACGTAATAGATAGAGATTACAACACGAGTAGGTGTTGAATATGGAAATTATTCAAACGAGATAGCTTTAAACGTTTTGATTTATTCTCGAGCGAAAGCGAAAAAATCAACTAGTTACACAATACCTGTTTCAAATAACCAAAATATATTCAGAGCACGTGTGTAATAAATAAGGTTCATCATACCTTTACAAGGTCATAATCAATTGGCTGTCCGTTAAAGTGGGACTGGATGCCGAGCCGCTTGAGAGGAGCACCTTTTCCAAGTACGTACTGAGCTTCGTCTTCAAATGCCTACAAATAGTCCGCAACATTGGTTTAACATTTTTGTTCAATTTGTATTTCAGTATTGTAACTGTCGGTCTGTCTATGTACGTACTAACATATAGAACATTTCACAATTCATGGGAGGATTTGGATGAACCTGGAATTTCAACCATGTGGCCAACACCCCATAGTAATGGTCATCGTTGTCTTTGGAAATCTGAGGAAGTCAAAATATATACCCGCTTTTGTCGACGTGAGATGAGGTGAAATTGGGTTTTACGTCGTCCTTGAGAATATTTCGCTCATATGACGACGTGCAGGCCTGTGTATGTGTATGTGCGGCTGCTTGTACTAGCCTAGACTTAACCTGGTTTTATATGCTAGCCCACTGAGATACCATGTCGCAATGAAGCATGAATACCCCACTAAGACCCAGTATACTGACTCCGAGCCTACAAGTCTTTGTTGTACCAATTAATGCCGAGCGCCCGCGACCTTCCGCTCTCCCGGCGGACACTCTAACCACTACATCACGGAGGCGGTCCTTTTGTGGACGTAACACTATACTTACAACGGAACCCGTGAAGATCCGGGTTAGAATGTGCCTTCAGTAACCTATGCTCGTCGTAAGAGGCGACCAACAGGATCGGGTGGTCAGGCTCGCAGACTTGGTTGACACATGGCATCGGTTCCCAATTGCGCAGATCGATGCTCATGCTGTTGATGACTGGATTGTCTGGTCCAGACTCGATTATTTGACTGACCACTTTATTACACTGTACTTACAACGGCTGCTTAGTTTTGACTGACCACGTTATAACACTGTACTTACAACGGTTGCATCATTTTGACTGACGACGTTGTAATCATTCAGGAACAGAAGGGAATTAGGGGCCGCCTTGTGGGCTTCATTAAACATCCATATGGAAATATCAGGATCGTGGAGTTGTTGAGCGTAGAAATCCCCGTGGACGTTCTCATTGTTGACATCCCAGTGAGGAAGCCTGCAACATTCAGTCAGACACACGTAGTTAGTCACACACACATATACACATTCAGTAAGACACACATATACACATTCAGTAAGACACACATATACATATTCAGTAAGACACACATATACATATTCAGTAAGACACACATATACATATTCAGTAAGACACACATATACACATTCAGTAAGACACACATATACACATTCAGTAAGACACACATATACATATTCAGTAAGACACACATATAAACATATTCAGTAAGACACACATATCCATATTTAGTAAGACACACATATACACATTCAGTAAGACACACATATACACATTCAGTAAGACACACATATACATATTCAGTAAGACACACATATAAACACATTCAGTAAGACACACATATACACATTCAGTAAGACACACATATACACATTCAGTAAGACACACATATACATATTCAGTAAGACACACATATACACATTCAGTAAGACACATATACACATTCAGTAAGACACACATATACATATTCAGTAAGACACACATATACACATTCAGTAAGACACATATACACATTCAGTAAGACACACATATACATATTCAGTAAGACACACATATACACATTCAGTAAGACACACATATACACATTCAGTAAGACACATATATACATATTCAGTAAGACACACATATACACATTCATTAAGACACATATACACATTCAGTAAGACACACATATACATATTCAGTAAGACACACATATACACAGTCGGCCAGACGCAGATATACATAGGACAAACAGTCTTTTACTGTATGGGCAGAAACAGATGTGTGATCAAAACTGGAGAAGCAAGAACTCGTTGGCAATAATGAATGAGCTTTTAGAAAGCAGATATTGCAAGCTCCACTCACTTTCCTTTGAAATGTCCAACGCTGTCCGTTACCCTCTTCACCATTGCTTGCTTGAGGGCTGACGCGGACAGCTGTTTCTGCCAGTTTGGTACCCACTGTGCAACTGCCCAGAAGATATTATGTCCTCTCACCGTGATGCTGAAAATGTATTTCGTAGGTCTATTGTTAGCATTGTAGAGACAGAGCCAAAATATGTTGTTCACATAATTAATCCTACAATACCACATGTATACTAATGATATATCAGAGACACATATTTTGTGTAGGAAATTAATACATTAAAAGAGGTTTCGTACATAATACCTTTTGGAAAGTGGTCAAATGTGACATGTTATATTTGTGATTACACATTTTTCTGTAAAGTACAGATTCTAGAACTGTTTGGGGGTTCAGTTCAACCCGGAATTGGAACCCACTCTCCCAGAATCAGACACCTAATCTCCAACACACAAAGTTACACCAAGAAACGGTGAAGGCTGACAACTGGTATTCTGAATCACGTACTTGTGATCGAATTCAGCATATGTTATATTTGGGATTACAATTTCCCACTAATGAAGAGATTCTATTACTTTTGGGGGTTCGGTACCGTATCAATTACACTTGTCATAATTTGAGTGTTCGTTTCAAGCTTTATGACATACGTGGTGTCAATGGCTTTAAATTGAAGTGAGCATGAGTACTGATAATTCTTATTAATCTGATTCATTTTGTTTACCCCTTTGACCGCAGCGTGTCAACAGCTTTCTCTGGGAGTGCTACATTATCCTGCCCCTGAAACGATATCCAACGTGAGCGTGTTATGGTGCGGAAAGAATATGTTGAAATGAATTATTAACATATAAAATAGTTGTGAAGGATATTGCTCCAAATTGTATGTGTTCACTAAACAATGAAACTGACTGAAAGTTGTCATTGTGGTCCAATTAGATATACCACTCAATGGCACCCATCGTGGTGCATGCATCAACCGTCCGGGATGGTTCCTCCTCGTGATATTGCCACTGACCTGGCTTGGTTCCATCGAGTACCACTTCAGAGCATTCTCCAGAACAGCCCACTCAAAATTGTCATAGAAGTAGTCCTGATATTTCTTGTGCTGGGAGTCTGTGATGTCGTTGGCATCCACGGCAGAGCCCCAGCCGAACTCGCTGCTTGTTTGGTGGACCTGGGTATGAAGATGTCAATGAATTCAGTGGTAGTCAACCTTATAAAGGACCATACACAAGCGGACCGTGATGGCTATGCCGTATGTAGGTGCAAACCCGCTATAATTACTTTTGGTGTTCATATTTTTATGAATGATGAAAGAACATCGTTACATATTTCTTACCTCCACTGTCAGACCAGATGGGTTCACGTTGTTATTCGTTACTCTGATTACATGGAACAAAACATGCTTATATGTTACAAGCAAACTATTTTTACACACAAGCAAATTCTGGATGGACATATTGAAAGGTCACAGTTCAAGGCTGTATACGTCTACACAAACCTAAAGATAATATTTTCTCGTTCATTTTCACAAGAGCTATGTATAAAGCCTTTTTTTTTAATGGGATATTTCAGTAATAGGATGTTCTTGGCTCAAATATATCCCAGTGATTTTCCTATAAATATTCATCTCAGGAATAGCTGTTGCTTGTGTCAAAGGAAGACGTTTTATTTTTATACAGCAACACATGTGATAGGTGTTTGGTGGAGTTAACATAATTGACGTACTTGATGTTAATATTATTCTTTCTAAGCGTATCTATTCTCCCACTGGTGTCGGACTTAAGGTCAGTAATGTGGGGGATCTCTTCCACGCTAGCAGTATCAAGCAAGTAGTTGACCTGGGGTTCTGAGATCTGGAAGTACACCCGCACCTCCTGGGCATCTGCAGGAAATACAATCAGGTATAAACCACCCGAGGTAAGAATTCTGAATTTTCAAATTAAAACTTATGATCGAGTGGGTAAGTAAGATGGCTTATTCAGAGAGTATCTTACGTATTACCGTAGTGGCAGATATATATGAAAAGTGAAGAGGTTCAGGGCGAATATTGGATTCAAACCCACAGTAATAAGTCTGTAGGGTAACCTGAAATACAGCTCTGTAGACGAAATGCTATTGTATTTTTACGTTCTTTGTTCAAACGTTCACAACTGCACAACTCCACTGGAAATACCAATATACAGTTTTACAGATGGACATCAGACTATATAATAAACACCTACAGGCAATAAAAGCAACGAATACAAACCATTAGGCATATGGTAGTCCCCTCCAACAATGTGCCAAGAGCCGGGTCTCAGATGTGGGGTTGTTCCAATTTGTTCATACTTGGAATTACCTAAATAGCGTAAAAACACTTGAAACTGTGAACAAGCAAAACCACTTGAAAAAGAAAACGAAGTGGAACTGACACCATTCCAAATTCATTCTTAAAGCCTTATACTATGACACAAGAATAGATTTCATCAATTAATGTAATAAATGTGTTCATGACATGACATATGGTTTTCTGATCAAATTGCAATTTGTAAATTCTTCTTATGCAAATATTTATCTGTATTCCACACTAAGATCTTAGAATTTCTTGCAAGAAAAGTATAATTAGATTTGGTAAATATGACACTAGTCTGTGACACTAACAACGCACTGGTTGATGTAAATTTGTCATCACCTACCATTGCTTCCCTTGATCTCTAGCAGTGTCTCCATGCTGTGATACACCTTACCCTGGGCTAGGTTCAGAATCTTTACGTAAGCCCTGAAGGAGTATTTGTGATCCCCTTGAGGCTTAAAAGACTGGGTTACGCTGCCCCAGTTTTGCTTTCTGCAACAAAGATTTCAATTACCTTGCTATGTTGTCGTGTTTACGTCTTAATTTGTCCACTGTAGGTTAGAATACGATAAGGATACACTTGTATACATGCTGAACCTTTACTATCTGACCATAGGAAGGTTCATACAAATATTGATACAAGTAAGAGAGTTGATTTGATTACTCAATACCTGTTTGTCACCTTGACACTGTGAGATCCTGTGTGTTTGTCCGTACTGGGGACGGCATCACATTGCACACACCACCAACCACCGTCAGTTTCGTCCCCTCCGTAGGTGGACGTACTGTCAAAGTCAGCATCTTTGAGGAGTTCAACAGACAACACGGTTGGCAACAGCGTCACCCACAACACCAACATTGTCAGCCAGTATCGTTCAGCCAAAAGTGCTTCCAAGGTTTCTCCTGAGTAAGTAACAGCTGTTTATAATACATGTTTGATAAGGAAACATACCTACGGAATCTAGAACTCATGGTTTCAAAGATTATTGTCATGATGAAAAAAACGCAGAGCGCAATTTGTTATAATAGGGTCGTGTTATGCAATTTTCAGACTATAACGTGCATCACAAACATTACTTTATAGCATTTATACAACACGTACAAGACAAGGTAAGACAAGACAAGACCCAAAACTTTGTTAACCTTCACGGAAATCGCTGTAAAACCTCGCAGAGCACACATTTATAAGAGTTAAATATCAACAGATACGTACGATATTTAGCCTTGTTTGATTTTAGTTTTGGAAGCTGATAACATCGGCCAGATGGTAAAAGTTTATACTCAGAGTTTAAAATGTGGGAGGGATCACTTAAGTCTTGTGTCCTTGGCACGATGAACACTTTTGCATAGATAAAAGATAGACAGTCAAATTCTACATTGTCAACTCTGCTATTACTTTTTAAAATTTTATTGAGATTTTTTGGTTTTGAACCGAGAGTCCCCCATGCCAGCACTGGATGGAAAATGTTGAAATACTTTGGATAAAACTAGTGTAAAAGAGTGATAAAATGGTTCTTTCAACAATAAATGATCTACACGTTAAAGGTATGTAATCAACTTGTCACTAATGTATATTGAGCATAAGATAGATCATTACGGGTGGTGTTACAGAGTGACTGAAACGTAGACAACTAAACTGTAAATAGTATATAACACAAGGTAAATGAATAGTTAACAATGTATGCAGGCATTATGTATGCAGGCATTATGATGTGTCCAGTCACAATTGGTAATGCAGTGGTAATACAACGGGATACATCAAGTAGAGGCAGCAATAGATCACATGTATCACAATATGTGTCACTTCACTGTCGAATGTCTTGAAATATGTTTAGAAGCGGGCAGACATTCGACGTTTACATACAGGTAACCCCCCAACCCCTTAAACAGCAGTTAGCGCTAAATGGAGAAAATAGTGGCTCCACACTCTCTCCGCATATTCAGAGTTATTTAGATTGTAGTTTGCACATGGTTCCAGGATCATCATGCAATTCTAGACAAACCGGCTGATATAGTTGCAATGTACTTTAGCAACGTCCCGAACAACCGATCCCTACTTCAACCTGCTTTTTGTGAAAACACAACAGCTAAATATAATGTGAATATACCTGCATACACGCTTTAGATGACACAGATAACATGACACGTTCAGAAAGGTCATCCTTCACCGTGTAACAGGTTTTGAACATTTCAATGCTGTCTGATTTTAGCCGACCAGGGTGTTTTGGCTGCCTTTGGATTGCATGGTATAAGGCCAGTATTGTTCTTCTCAAAGCGCGACGGCACAGCCTGAAAAAAACAAAGGTCCTTGTGTATATTTAATCAATACTATCGTCCGCGTTACTTCCTTCTCTCCAGTTTGTGAGTTTTGTGTTTGGGAGAGAATGACAATCTTCTGTGTAAACAGAGGAAATAGAATAGGACAATGGTTTCAAATACAATCTGCCACGGCTACTGTATCAAACATTCATGACGTTATGTTAGCGGGTATATTACAACTGAATAACAGGTATATTAGGAAAACTCCAGAACAGAGGCAGAATGCCATTTCTAGCGATTTCACATGACAATAAACTCTGTCAAATCAATCTCTGAATACAAATCAATCCCTAGCAGAACAGGGAAAACGGTGAGGCTAAATCGCAAATGTAAAATCTTCTTATAAGTATGATATAAGCTGTTCCATCACATCATTTCACTGCGAACAATAATGGAATCATCTTGCCGACTTTATAATGGCTGGGTTTTGGCAGGGAGGTAACGGAGGTAAATGACTGGAATTCCAATATCCGGAAAGTCGTTCATCCTGATGACAATACTTGGAAAAACACAATAACAGTTATTATAAGGACAATACTCACGTGGACAGTCGAGTGTAATCCCATGGAAAATACCGGGGTTCATATTTTTCATACGATGCCCCAGGGCAAAATAACACGTCATGGTGACGTGACGTCATGAACAAAGCTATAACGTCATGTTTCTTCTATGACGTTACGTTCTACATATGCCGACGGCGGGTAGGCAGCCTATGTTTGAAAGTTGATTTGGGTTTATTTTCCTCAATTTGACGACTTCGGTAATACATAGAATATTATATTCGTGTCCATATCATACTATGTTTACGACACTCATGCCTAAATATCGGTATATCCCCCGCTCTCGCTCGGGAAACACCAACATTTAGGCACTCGTGTCGTAAACATAGTATGACATGGGCAATCATACAATATCCTCCATATGTTGTACATTAACACACCTTACTCCTACTCTAGGCGTTGTCATTACAATCCATTGTTATTTTTGTACATTTCTCCAATCTAATTTGCTTCGCAATTATATTGTTATCTTTGCACGTTCTCCCACCATGTAAACCTGTCTTAATCTATATATATATATTCCCTCTTTGCACTGACTCACCCCCCACCCTAACGAAGTTAAACTCTTGTTCTTTATTTACTTGGCTCCCTTATTCTAACAAATACAGCTTAACTGTATTTCAAGTATTATAACCCCCTTATGCTTTACCATTCTTTATCACCTACAACCCCTCTGAAGCCCACGTAAACACTTAAACGAACGAACTGACTCAACATTCGCCTGATGAAGGAGCAGGAACTAGCTCTGAAACGTCGTATAAAGAATATAGAAGATGCTATCCATGAAACGTGTCATGTATTCATGTTTGTCCAACTCATACATGCCTTTCAAAAATACACCATTCACATTGAGCATAATCGACAAAGACTACATAGGGATGCCTGTGCTTATTTTAATGAACTGTTGTGATGGAATGTATCAGTGCCTTTTACTCTGGATATTTCATGACAACTTAAACTTGCCATGTCATGTTAAGATTAATATTATCTTGATATGCTTTTGCCAGGCAACTATATTTTTCTCATTATATGACCTGAATAAACTACCATACTGGGTGTGTGGGTGCACGTCTATCTGTTAGACAGATTAGACAATTACCAGGTCAGAAAGAAGGTTCATTGCCAGACCTCCCTTTCGACTGAGATAAGATAGGACAATGATAATTGTGATTTTTGCGCCATTTTTAGCAACAGTGAATCGTGAAAGAGATTAGAAGAAGTCACCGTAAACTGTGTGGGAAATCATCCAGGATTGTGAGTTTTTAATGAGTCACGTCTACTTTGATTATTTTACGATATTATGTAATTTCAACATAATCAAACCATACAGATACCTTCACAGTCTCGAGCTAATACTACCCGAACATATCCTGCTCAAGGTTCTGTTACCAAAGACTCAACTTTATGCCAAACTGTCATTCCTGGGTGAAGAATGAGCAGATAGCGGTCAGTGAGTTCATCAAAATCTCAACCAGATGAGCCAGCTTTAGTAATGTCAGTTTCGCAAAGAGAACAGCCCCTGAGACAAAATCTAATGAAACATCAGATCAAGATAGTCAACAGTGGCGCTCATCAGTCGAAATGAAAGCAAAGCTGTGGAAGGCAAGATTTGGAAGAATATTTTACCTTCATAACACCTGTGACAGTTCATACTCTGTTTGGAAATCTTGATAAGGAGGTCTCTCCTCTCTGAGACATAATATGGGAGTGGGCATACCTCACGTTCAAGATCCCGACTTGATCCGATCTGTCAGGCATCTTTTATACACTGGAATTGCAGATTACTTTGATACAATTTTAATGATCTGTCACAAGATTTAAAACCCTCATGAGTGATCAACTTTTAATTCATAAGAAACATGTCTGGAAATTGTACAATAATATTTCCTTATCTGTTACTACAATTTATACGACTAGTTTTCCCCCCTTCCATGCTATATGGTGGCTCTATTTTGTCGTGACAGGAAGATCCGATAGCTCTGTTCCTCTTGAATACAACCTTAAAGCTGTTTCAGTTGGTCTTTCGTAATCTTCACAGTTTGCTTCCGGTATGTATAGTCTCCACCTTCTTCAGCCGTCTGGTCACCAGGATATTTTAAGCAGCCCCCTAAACTCTATATCATCATCGTTGATCTGGACGGACATAAGCTTCCATGGGATGAGCCAGTACCAACGATAAGACGGTTTCAAATACGAAAATTCCGAACTTTGTTAGATTCACCGTTTCAATCAAAGCTTATAAGAAGCAAAATTCCTTGGACTATTCTTCAGTCGTAACGTTAGATGTCTCAAGGCCCATCAAGGTCCAATATTATGTCTTAACGATTTTTAACATCGTCGTTTGGATCTGTCCTTCTGGAGGTAGATACACGTACTCATACACTTACTTAGTCTTAATAAGTTGTATATAAATTAGACATGTACATGCTATTAACTTCATACATTTATGTATCTTTTTCTTTCTGCAGCAGTATAGATGCTGAAGGCTTTCATCCGCGAACCGCCACACACACGGCTATGTAGTGTACGAGCAAATATTCTGAAAGCGTTTCTATGGAGTTGAAAGTCGCCATCCTGATCAAGCGACATTTTGGTATTTTCGAAGAAAGATCCTGTTTCATTGCTGTTAAAAGTTGTTAAATGTAGACACCAAAGAGTGTGTTGACTGAAATACTGCACAACGTACAGTAAAACATGGGATATTGGAACGTTAAAGTTATCCTCCTTTTCCTACAGTCTCCTAGATAGTTTGTCTTCATGGCGATCTAACTACCGAAATGTGTACCCGTCCGTGAACTGGCACGGCTCTCACTGCCGAAGCTATGGATACATAATGCCTTTAGAAAGTGGTCACATTATAATGCTGTTATATTTGGGTTTAATCTTTCTCAGTAAAGTACAGATTGTAGTACATTTGAGGGATAAGACCCATTCCTGACACATACACAAAGTACGTGATCTAGACTACCAGTTGTCAAATTTCCATTTTAGTGGTAGCCGAGTGGCTGAGTGGGTTAGGTCT